TACCTTTCCAACACACGCAGGGAGAGACGCCCTATGATGCGGCACAAGCCAACGGCCACGCTGCCATCACCAGCATCGACGGGCTGAAACCAGGCGGCAAACCCCAGCAACAACAGCAACAGCAGCAGCAGCCAAAACAAGAGCCACCTGCGCCCACTCCTGCCGCCGGACCGAAGCAAGAAGAACAAGCAGCGCAAGACGTGAGTGATCAGAAGGGTGCTTGCTTGCAACGCACAAGCAAATGCATCACGTCACCCATGCCATTCCTTCATCACGCTCTCCGTGGTCTCGTATCAAGCATAATCATGATGTCTCACACAACCATCACCACCGCCACCAGCAGCAGCAGCCCGAGCAGGCGCGCAGGGAGCGTCTCCAGCAGCGCATGCGGGAGGTCATAGCGCGCTTCAACGCGACCATGGCGGGCAGGGCCAAACTCATCTTCATTGGTCAGGGGCGCGCCGGCAAGACTTCCACGTTCCACTCGCTCATGGGTCACATGTTCAACAAGCATGAGCACTCCACGCATGGCGCCACCTCAACCGACCTCGCCGTCGTTGTCGAGTCCATGGACGTTCACGACTGGCAGGTGTGTGAGTGAAGCTGATGCGAGCATGTGATGTGTGCGACGCATGGGTGTGAAGAGAGGTGGTGGTTGACACGATCATCCCCTCGCACAAGCGTTCACACACCCACCCACCCACACACACACACACACACACACACACACACACACACACACACACACACACACACACACACACACACACACACACACACACACACACACACACACACACACACACACACACACTTCTTTTCCCACCTTGCAGGAGCTGGATGCGGAGATCTCGGAGCTGATGCGCAGTCTCTGCGGCACGGCGCTGGCGCAGGAATCCGGCGTGGATTTGCAGATGAAGCAGGCGATGATGAAGGCGAAGGCGGACCTGAAGGGGCGTATCACCAAACACCATCAGCAACAGCGGCAGCAGGAAGCCGACAAGGCAGAGAAAGCAGCAGCTGCCAAACTGAAGCAAAGACAGTTGCAGAATGCAAAGGAGACACAGCCACGGCCATCATCCAAGAAGCCACCACCGACCGTCCCCAAACCCACCAAGGCATCTCATGACTCAGCATCTGCGCCCACGAAGCAGGCCACCCTAAACCCTTCCAGCCAAAGTGATTCTGCTGCCGGCAATTACAACAACACCGCCACCGCCACGACCGGCATGTCTGCGGAGGAGATGGAGAAGGCGATCAAAGAATTCAACGTGGACGCCGTCATGGGCGAGGGCAAAGCGCGTGTCACGTTCAAGGTGTTTGACCTGGGCGGTCAGTCCACCTTCTACATCTTCCACCCTTTCTTCCTCACCAAGTGAGTAGGATGCATTTGTGTGTGTGTGTGTGTGTGTGTGTGTGTGTGTGTGTGCGTGCTTGCGTGCGTGTATTGTGTGTGTGTGTGTGTGTGTGTGTGTGTGTGTGTGTGTGTGCTGATCACCGCTCCCCTCAACAACCCCACTTCCGCTCACCCTCCCCTCCTTACCCCCATCTTCACCCACCCGCAAACAGGTACGCGGTGTACCTGCTGGTGTTCTCAATGGAGGACCTGTTGCACCAAGACAAGAGCAAGCGGGCTGAATCGTGGGAGTTTATGGAGCACTGGCTCTCCGCCCTCCACCTCCACGCCAAGGGCGCACCCGTCCTCATCGTCGGCACCTTCGCTGACAAGATCAACGAGAGGAAGCAGCATGAGCAGATATCACGCGACATCTACAGCCGCCTGCGCCACAACCCGGCCTTCCCTGGCGTCGTCCACAACGACAAGCATGGTCTGTGGTTCTGGCCCGTCGACAACACCAAGTCCATCAATGACCCCATGATTCAGGACTTGCGCCAGTCCATCTCCTCCACAGCCTTAGCGCAGGAGTACGTGAGCCAGGAGGTGGCTGTGCCATACCTCCATCTCTACGACAAACTGATGGCACTGAGCAAGGACGACAAACGGCCGCTGCTCACCTTTGATGAGGTGGTGGATATTGGACGCACGTGTGGGCTGCGCACACGTGAGGAGACGAGGGCCTGCCTGCAGTTCCTGCACCTGTACTCCATGGTGTTGTACTACGACAGCGTGCCTGGCATGGAAGATTATGTGATCCTGAGCCCGCAGTGGGCGGTGGACACGATGACGCGCGTCATCCGAAACTTTGATCTGCATCACGACGTGCGTGATGGTGCGGCAAGGGCCATTGGCGCGCAGCTGTGGGACGACCTGGTTGACCGCGGTATCCTGCACCGCCGTCTACTTGATGTGCTGTGGAGGGGCTTGGAAGGTGGCATGGTTGAGCCCTTTCTCCAACTCATGATGGAGTACGGGTTGTGTATCCAGTACACGGCGCCAATGGTGCTGCTGCCCGGTCCTCAACAGCAACAACAACACCACCAACAGTACCTCGTCCCAGCCATCCTGCCGATGACGCTGGAGGACGAACAGGCGTCCTCGTCGGTGACTCTGAGCACGGCAGCAGCACAGCAAGCAAATCCGTATGTTGGATATGAGGAGAAGACAGCCTACGTCGCCTTCAGCCTGAGGGAGTTCAAGAGGGGTGTAAGCGCCAAGATTGCAGACACGCAGCAAGCCTCCTTCCTGCCAGAGGGCCTGTTCCCGATGGTTCTGGCACGCGTGATGGCACACATGCAGCACGGTGCAACGGAACCGCCCATGTTGAGCCGCACAGACGCCGTGATCTTCATGGATGCTGCTGAGATCGAGATGCAGCTCGTGCCGGCTGTTGGCGGCATCAAGATCAAGGTCATGACTGCACGTCCTCGCACGCTGCTGCACATGCTGTACGACACCATCACTACAGCTGTCATGCAGCGCTACCCCGAGCTCAAGGCCACGTTGCTGCTGCCATTCAATGACACGAGACTGCTGTTCTTCGAGGACGTGCACACCCACCACACGAACAAGAAAGCGCTTCGCGTTGGCCGCTCACAGCTGCTGTCACCAGAGGATCTGGTCGCCAAATATGGTCCACTCTTGCCAGTTATGGGTCAGCAGGACAAATACGACGCCTTCATCAGCTACAGGTGGGACATGTGTGTGTGTGTGTGTGTGTACGGTGCGAACTGGGTGTCTTTCCTTCCCTCTCTCTTCCTTTCTCATCCCGATATTCACCACCACGTCACAGGCAACGCGGCAACCGAGGTCTGGTGTTGACCCTTCACCCAAGGTTGGAACACCACGGCTTGGTGGTCTTTGTGGACGCCAACAACCTCGAAACAGGCGTCAACTTCAAGCGTGCGTGCATGACAGCCCTGCACAACAGTACTGTCGCCTGCCCCGTCGTCTCCGTCGGTGCCATCCATCAGATGCGCTCGCTCGGCCACACTGACACGTGCGATAACGTCTTGTTGGAGTGGATGGCCATGCTGGAGTTGCAGCAGCTTGCTCGCCAGCATCCAGACAAGGTCCACCTCCGCCGCATCGTTCCGCTCTTCATTGGCAGTGGCTGGCACGACAGCAACCACCATGTTATGAGCAGGGCGGAAGTGAGCGAGTACGACTCGTTTGACCGCCTGAAGCGGCTGGCAACGAAGTTGCCGGATGTTGTGAGCAAGAACACGACGTCAGCGCTGGACCAGTTCTTTTCGCAAGTGCTGCACCTGCCACCACCCCAGCAGCACAAAAGCGTCCGTGAAGTGGTACTGTCGCTATTTGACATTGACGCCGTGGTTGCGATGGATGCCGGTGTGGACCGCACGTTGCAGCTGCGCAACATTGCAGAGAAGGTGCGCCAGGTCGTCGTCTCCGCGAGGAGCGAGGAGCAAGCAGCTCAGGGGCCAGCAGCTGCACGTCGTTCCACGCAGGTATGGTTGTGTGTGTGTGTGTGTGTGTGTGTGCGCGTATGTGCGTGCGTGTGTGTGTGTGTGTGTTTGTGTGTGTGTGTGTGTGCATGTCTGCAGATATGGAAGCGTGCGCTTTCTCTCTTCCACTTGGCACGAGTGTCTCACTCGACCCCTCTAACTTGTCTGCCGTGCAGTCATCTTCCTCGATCTCCACTGCCACGGCCCATTCAACGCCACCACCTGCCACCCCATCGCCCTCGTCCTCAACCACATTCGAACCAGAGCTGATTCAATGGCTCGACCGCCACTCGCTGCTGCCGCACGTTGAATCAGCGCTGCTTGACCATGGCATCGACACCCTCGAAGATTTGGCTGAATTGGTGGCTGACGGTGGGCTCACACGCGTCATGCTCACGGATGCCGGCGTCAAGGTCGGCAAGGCCGCTAAGCTTCTGCGCCTGGCCAAGGAGCACGGCGGCTCCGCCTCCTCATGACGCCACGTGTCCTATGTGACGTGTCAACTGCCACGGCCAATTTGTTTTTGTTGTTTGGCTTGCATCACATCGTCTCCCCTTCTGTTCTTCTGTCAGGCCGCTTGCCTCAGAGTCGTGTCATTGCTCTTGTTCTTCCTGCTCGCCTGTCCATGCCTGGCTGCCTCTGAGGTTTGTGCTCTGTTTAGCCTTTTGTTCCTTTGCACGCGGTTCTTTATGTACTTGTTTGCTTTTGTTTGCAGTTCGCTGCCTGCGTTAGGTTAGTATCTCGTGTGCATTGCGTGTTTGTTGCTTTGCTGTTGATTGTTCTTGTTGCGTCTGCTCTCTCCTGCTGCGCGGTGGCAGGCTGAGTGTGGTGTTCTACCCGCCACTTTCCCTCCGTCCTTCCAGCTTTGATCCTCGAGTCGTATGTCATGTCAGTACAAGGAGTAAGTGCGTTTAATTGGGTCAACTTGGAGAGACATTGTAGCAGTGCACGAGGGACAGAGCCGAACAGCGTGTGCTTCGCAATGAAGCTAGTCAACGAGAGAGAAATGGGCAAGACAGGAAGAAGGGACGTAGCTTTGAAGGTGATGGGAGGTGATTCCAAGCAATCACACAGTAACCACCACCAGGACCCCTCTTTCCCTCCCCCCCACACACACACACAAACGCAACGCCTCAACAGCCTGGATGGATGATCAAGGCAGAGTTCGAGAAGAACGGGACGCCATAGATGAGGCCATTGTCGGCAAGCACGCCAGAGTACCACTTGGCGATGTCATCAGACACAGGCAGCGAGGACACGTCAAATGAGCTGGTGGCAGGGTCGATGATGAGCACAGCAGCGGCAGAGAATGGGACGCCAAAGATCCGCCCATCTGGCGCCAGTACCCCGCCAACCCACTTGTTCGGGTCGCTGGCGAGGCCACTGATGGAGGTCGTGTCGGCCGTGTTTGTAGCCGGGTCAACAATAAGCACGGATGATGCTGCGCGTGGAATGCCGTAGATGAGACCGTTGGCTGCAAGCACGCTGCCTTGCCACTTGGCTGGGCCGTGCAGGCCCGAGATGGACGTCACATCGGCCGTGTTCGTGGTCGGGTCGATGATGAGCACAGCTGCCGAGTCACGTGGGGTGCAGTAGATGAGCCCGCTGTTTGCGAGCACACCATCGTACCACTTGCCCCCGACTTCATCAAAGCCGGCCATGCTGGTTGTGTCTGTGGAGTTGGTTACTGGATCCAGGACGAGCACGGAAGACGCAGCCCAGGGGATGCCGTAGATGAGGCCGTTGTGCGCCTGTACGGCGCCGAACCATTTCTGCGAGGTGGATGGCAGGCCAGTGATGCTGGTGGTGTCTGTCAAGTTTGCGGCGGGGTCGATGATGAGCACTTGCTCGCGATTCCCGGGTATCCCGTAGATGAGGCCGTTGCTTGCGTGAACCCCGCCATTCCATTTGCCGCCGCCCAGCTCAAGGCCGGCAATGGTTGTTGTGTCAGCAGTGTTCGTGTCAGGGTCGATGATGAGCACGGATGCTGCGTTGTGAGGAATGCAGTAGATGAGGCCGTTGCTGGCCAGGACGGCGGCACGCCAGTCCGCACTCCCCTCAGTGCCAATGTCCGTGAGCATGGTTGTATCCGTGGATGGGTCAATCTTGGAACAGGTGACCGCTTCCAGCTGGTCCAGCTTCGCGCTAAGCGCTGCGGTGGTGCTTTGTTGTGCCTGAAGCTGCTTCGTTTGTGTTGACAGCGCTGCTACCTGCGTTGACAGCGCCGCTGCTTGCGCCTGCACCCACCGAGACAATTCCCACACATCCACCCCGTTGAATAGCACGGGCGCACGTACAGGGTCGCTCGTGTTGATGTGCAGTGCCCCGCGCTCATCGCTGTCAATGGCCACCTCACTCCCCACACCACAAATCAGCACCAGCACCGCCAGGAGGCCAGGGCCGCCAGCGACATGCACGGCGCCATCAAAGAGAAGTGAAGCGAGAGTGACACAGAGAGAGGAGGGGGGGGGGGGGTGCTTGCTTGCTTGTTTGTGTTGTCTTGTCGTTGGAGGCTCGAGATTTCCAATGGAAATTATTGCTACTTTTCCCAACTTGCGCTCTTTTTTGGTGCCTGAAACGAAGGAGGGCTGTCGCTCACACACACACACACAAACACAAACACACACACACACACACACACACACACACACACACACACACACACTACCCAACTGGCCCAATGATCACATTGATTAAGGCCGTCGACATATTACCCTACCCCCCACAATGTC